AGGTCGTCCTTCTTGGATGACCCCATGATAGTGCTGCACCGGGTACAGCCTGTTTACTTCGAGCCAATGCTTATCTGTTTTTTCTGGAAGATCAAATTCACATAACTGTGATTATAAAACCTCTAGCTGCCGCTCGAATCCACAAAGCATATCTTAACATTCATAACCCCAAAGGACTGGCCAGGCGGCGGGTCTAGAAGCGCGGATCCCTGTTCTAGTTGTGATATTGCGAAGAAACTCTAGACATTCTCAGCATTTTGCAAAGGTCCTATATAGATTCTTTTTAACGACGATGCATTACGTCCCTGTCTTTTCGGCCACATCTTGGTCCTGGGATAGTTTACACTGTCCGCCATTTTGGACCTATAACTGCGAAGCGTGAGCAGTCCATCTCCCACAGAGATGAAAAGGCTTTGGTTTGTGTCTCATATATGGGCTAGTTAGAAAATTTTGTCGACTGTTTTGCCGAGCTTAAATTTTAGCTAACACGAAATCATTGTACTGGGCAAACGCGCAAAAGCTTCAGAAAATGCTCTTGTATTTGCATCTTCCGGTATTCTGGCATGAGCTAGAGTTCTGGGCATATACCACGATTTCCTAGACAGCGTTGAGGGGGTCCATTCTGGAGTTGGTGGGTTATTTCTATATACACGTCGAATGGCCTCGAACACGGTTACTTAAACTGAAGCAACCACTCACCAGCACGCTGCTGTTTCGATAAAGCAGTGAGTCTCCCCATTCACCGAATCGATCCTTAATAAACAGCTCGGTTTAGCCTCTTTTATTCGACGATCAAAGCTCACAAAAGTTGCTTTTCATTTTTGGAGTAACTGAGATTAGTCGTCTTAACTTTCATTTAGTTTTGTTCCTCGATTAACCAGCTGTCAGCAAAAGTGTGCATCCATTTGCCCACTTCATTAAAAGCCTCTGGATTGTCCATGCAATTTGATAATTGTGGCTGCGTGGCGTCAGTCGAGTCACCTTACTTCCATTGCTATCGTCCGTAGGTATCGGGCTTTTGCAGGCCGTCATCACTGTTAAATCTGATCTCTCCTCAACTGATTCATCCGATCTAGGTAACGATAGAAGAATTGACCGATTCTTCTTCTTCTTCTTGAAAGCCCACTTTCAGTTCACGTGGCACCTTGACCGAGACCATACCGGTGGAATTCGAAGAGAAACAAGTGGTAAGGCCACAGGGAAGGTCAGAAATAGTTTGGATACCATGACTGTTGATGGGTATGGGTAGAGGGCTATAGTAACGTCCGCAAACATCCCATGCTGACCCAGTTAGCGGTACCGACGGCAGAGCTGTCAACACCAGGAGCTGAAGGATCACACAGAAGACTGCCTCATCCGCGCTTAAACAGCAGCACAGAAAAAGGCACAAAATCCAGGCTTGCGATAACCACACTAGGTTTCTCTCACACAAAACCAGTCTCTGGCCAAACTATCAGTGGCCTCCTTCCTCCTTTTGGAGTATTTTTTGGTCAGCTTGTTGTTTGTGGGTAATTTTTGGTAATTCAAAGCGTTTGTAGTGGATTATGCATATCCTATGCAGACATTTCCCAGCATGTGATGAGCTCACCTTCCTGTAATTCGCGGGTAGTTAGGTTCGATCCGTTCTGCATTCTTTCCGGACAAATGGAGCAAAATGACGTTGCACGAGTAGAATCATCAGACCTTTTAGATATTAGCGGAGTAAACAGAGGCTGCAAATTCAAGAGATAGAGCTTTTGCACTTTTGTCGCTCTATATAAGCACTAATATTAACTGTACGGACACCATATGCATAGTAACAAGAAGGAAATTTATATAAGGAGGCGAAATATGCTTTAAAATGCTAAATAGCGTTTAACACGGGGCAGTACGAGTCACGGTATTGTTGTTTTTTTGACTTCCTCAGAAATTATCTACGAAGTTGGAGTAGGTCAGTTTATTCAAGGTCTAGAGGCACAGACCGAGAATTTTATGTATGAATATTTGGGTTGAAGTCCATTAGCCACAACGGATAGCCGCTTAATATTCATTAATTGCCGACAGACAGCTAGTAGTATACTTTTGGGTAAGGTGATTCCATACTAACAGCACAGGTACTAGCCAAAAGCCCATAAACGCGTGTTTCGCCGATATTCTGCCGCTGCATAGCGCAGGTGCAAGGGGTTCGGCTCGTCATTGGGTCCCGCAGCATTCCCCGTCTGTTTTCTGGTATATGGGCTTTTGGCTAGTACCTGTGCTGTTAGACTGGTAGCACCCTACCCTAAAGTATACTACTGGCTGTCTGTCAGCAGTTAATGCATATTACGCAGCTATCCGTTGTGGCTGATGGACTTCGGCCCAAATATTCATACATAAAATTCTCGGTCTGTGCCTATAGACCTTGAATAAACTGATATGCTCCAACTTTGTAGATAATTTCTGAGGAAATCAAAAAGCGACAATTTTTAAATTGCAGTATCTACCAGAAAACACACGACGAATGCTGAGGGAACCACTGACGAGCCGAATCCATCGCAGCTGCGCTATGCAGCGAGAGAATATCGGCGAAACACGTGTGTATGGACTTTTGACTAATACTTGTGCTGTTCGTATGGTATCACCTTACCCTAAGGGGTCACTGTATATCACTCAGTGCTCTGTTCACGAGCCAGACAGCATGCGATAGACCACGATAAGGCGGGATATTTCTCTAAAATTCCCAACTGTCACGCAACTACTAATTGGGAAACTAGTAATGCTGAATGCCAATTTAGAGATTTTAATCATGCGAAATTACTCTAGGTATGAGTAAGCAAGCAAAAATATTCCTTCCTAAGTCGTTCTTGCGCATACTTTGACGTATCAGGCGGTCCGTTAAGCAAATTTGTAAGGCCCCTCTTGCTTGACGCAATTAATTCCAACGTAATTGGTTTATGATCGCTAATGCACCTCCCAATAAACGCTAACTGGGATTTTCAAAATTCTGGACGGCGCTGAGGAGTTGAAACAGGAGTCAGCTTCTGGGGGGGGGGGGCGGATGTGGATGCGTTCAGATACATCTTCTTACATTTAAGTCAAGATTGCGACGTACACAACATTTCGGAAGCTGTTAAGACCAAATACACTTCCGTTGGAATTCGTTGTGTGAGATTCAAAACAGGAATGAACATTCTACAACTGTTTTCGATTTAACCACAAGATGCTTTGCTGCAAGCTGAACAGGCCCCACTTCTAGAGACCCTAAATACAACGATTTGCCGTGGCTGTAAGGACAAGCATACTTTTTAATCATTTCCCGCGTTTTGTACGTTCTTCCCCCAGGAAACGTGAGAAGAGATAGATATTATAATGTTGACGCCCATCTTGGGTTTCATAATTAGCCAAAGGCCAATATCGCCATAAACACCACTCAGAAGAAACTCAACGTTTTGATTACTGAGGTAGGGAGCAAAGAAAGTCGATTGAGATAGAAAATGATTAAAGTATTTGCCGATTCTGCCAAATAGACCTTAATCTACTCTTTGGATGTAATTCATATTTTTCGAATTTTTACTGACGAGATTATCTGCTTATGAGTCAGTTAATTCATAGTCATAGGATAAACGCGAGGAAATATGGAGATTAAAATGTTATCATGTAAATTTAGTGCGATAATTGATTAGACATACACCATTTCCACGCCAAAAAGAACGTGCACGTCAGTCGGGAGAAGCCGACTGACGCAACTTGTGGCACAGCATCCTTGGCATTGAGGCAGATAAGGCAGTGAAAGTCGGCTAAGATCAGGAATGGTCAAAATATTTGCTGACTGCGCCGGACAAAACTTAATTCGTGTCAGTGTATTTTTCCATCAGTGGTTTCTAAATGCATAACCAATGAGGCAGGACGTTTCACAAAGACGTAAATCGAAAATCCACACACCGTTGTACGTTTAGGTAAGATGAGTAGAAGTTGATGTCAATGTAACCATGATCAATCGAGTTAGTGGAGTCTTAATGCGTTGTCCAACCTTTGAGGCCAATAGGTTTTTCTAGCAACTACTGACTCAACAGTGGATTTAATATTTTTTATGTCTGTAGCCAGACTAGGAGTGAATAATGAGCGCTTGCGGTTTTGGTTCAACTTTTGCTGTCCCGATAGACAGGGCTGTTATTGTGCCCTGCATCACTTAGGCAGACATGCGCATACGGTTATATTTCACAAGAGCATAATAACTGTTTCTACCTGTTGTGTTCTAAATCCTTGCAAGTCTTTAGATCACAGCGACAGCGCTGTAGAAAATGTCGGCCAATCAAAATATGGGGATTCGTTGGTCATCAAACTCCATAGTTACATTTGTTATCCTTGGCCTAAACCGCTTAAATACCCCTCAGAGATAAAAAATATTTGATTGTAACATTGACACATTTATCAAGGATCTTCATAAGCTAACTAAAGAAAAGGACGGGAGCAGAACAGCGAAGAAAATTATTTTTAATTATTTGTCTTATGGCCAGTTAGACTTAAAAACTGTTTACCAAAAAGATGGCGAGAACTTGTTTGCCACCGTCTTTCAATGATGCCACAATCCAAAATATGAACTCCGAATCAGTTGATTATCGATCAACGCTTTCATTGCTGCACCAACGGGCTCCCGCCAGACATCTGTCGCGTCAATCACGCATAGGCATACTTTACAGTCGGTCCGAATTTTTCACACCAGCGCTTCCATTCCGGTCTAGTCAAAGCAAATAAAACTATTTTTATTTTTTAGGTTATCCAAGAAAACAGTGAGGTCTGCGCCATTTAAGGAGGAAGATCCCATCGCGGTTCAGGAAACCATGACCCAAGTCTCCCCTTGATCCCCACTGGAGTAACCTTTTCGGCCAATTAAATGCCTTGTTTTGCAGGGCTGAGAACAGCAAAATACAATGCATTCGGTAATAAAATGTGACGTTCATTGTGCCTCAACGACACCAAGTCGCCCCACATCTAATCTGCTGCAGGCTGTGTCGCCTCCCTCGGACCGCTTGGCATACATAATGTCAGAACCCACAAATTTATCTTGTGAACAGGATGTCTTATCCCTCAGTTTACTTTCCAAGCAGAAGATAAAGGAGGCTGAATTGAAGTTGAACGTAAGTATTTTTACGTTTTTCAGCCGGTTTTATTGAGCCATCCTAAATGCCACCTGGGCGTCAGTCTCAAAGAAATACTCTGGTATATCACAAAATCACACAGGTCTTCTAAGGGAACATGCCACATTTAATTGCTGTTTTATACGGACAAAGTCTACTGCGCAGTCTAAATCATTTGGAATATTATAAAATCCGCCATCATAAGCTTCGCCATGGCCAGAACCGTTCTGTTTGGCGATCGTTTTCCTTGAAAGGCTTATATTCTTTGTCACTCTTTGTCTTATTGGTATTATTGGACTACTCAAATTTCGGGGTATCAGAGCAACCCACTATGGATCTAATGTAGTTTGCCATGCTGTGCCAAAAAATTGGTCAAATGTTACGGAAAAGGGGTTCAAAATCTTCGAAAGATGGTACCACTGAAAATTTCAATATTTTTTCAACAGATTCTTGTTTTTGTCCTCAGAGTGTTCTAAATTTCGACGCGTATTGCAACAAGTCCTTTAAAAGAGCCCAACCAGGCAAATATCTTTTTAATCCGTCTGTGCTATTCTTCTCTGTCTATTCTACGGAAGAGATTTTTGCCAGCTCCCACTTATGCCTCATTGCATACGCATTTATGAGTGTAAATAATCGGACGGCAATGTATGAATTTGGTCCTCACGAACTGTCCCTCATGCTGGTCTGACGCCTAATTTGTAGTTCTGTCACGCTCCCTAACAAATCATATTTTTTCCATAAAAGGTGAAGGGAAAAAGGCCGATCATTAAAAACATACTACGCCGGAAAGATCTGTTTTCGTCACTTTAGGAACAGGCTGGGACATGCCGCTTGTGTAAATGTTCGGGTTTCAGTTCATCACTCATAGTAGCCTCAGCGGATGTCATTGTAGCAACGCTTTGGAAATCCAAAACCGACTGGTGTCATTGTTTACGGGACCGATTTAATCGCCAAACACTCTCGCGTATGGAGCAAATATATTGTTAATTACTCTGTTTTAATTGAGCCGATGAAAGTCAAGCAGGCCCTATTCTGAAAACCTGCTGTGTGCATGCTGCGAGAAGGCTTATCACTGGAGCAAAGTGAGCCTAAACGGTATACGCTTGCGAATCTCGAATCAGAATCGAAGTAAACTTTTGCTGCTAGGCTGTGCGGGGAGAATCCCCTATACGAGTAATAATTTCATGCCAAACGGACATTTAATGGATAATTGTCGCTTGAGATGAAAGGGATATTTGCGGAATAACAGATCCTGTGTACCTCTTCGCTTGTGATAGGTGGAATGTCTCTAGTAGCGACGTACTTTTGAAGTTTTTATTGCTGATTCCGACGCGTCTGTTAAACAGCAGAGGCACAAAGTGTACAAGGGTTTGCTGATATGGTGGGAGCATCGCTATTTATTACTGCGCATAACGCAAATGGGTCGGCTTGTGAGACCAGGGCGATAAGAAGCCAGCTTCCTAAAGCTTACGCCTGGCAGGTACTCCGACCTTTGCCAATATATATTTAAAAAATACCACTCCCGGGATCCAATATCTTCATAAAAACGATTTTCTTCTCTTCGCTGACCGTTTCTCAAGGAGGGCACAAAGCAACGCCGACTGGTCAGCTTAGAAGACCCTTTTCTCAACGCTCAAACCTTATTTTATATAATCCGCCAACAAGTATTTTTTCACACAGAACATAGGCTACGGTCGATTATCGATGTAAAGTGTACTCCGAGCTTAATCTTCTGGGCACAGTGCAGGCTAGACACGGAAACAGGTTCCCTAAAAGGTGGCCTTGCGCAAAATTCCAAGGGGATCCCTATTGCCATGCCCCAAACATAACCCTAACCTCCCTACAGTTTGTTGTAAGGCCACCTGTGGTACAAGTGGGAATCCAAAACGTCACGCCAATAAATTTCTTGTTCCAGTGATAGCACCTTCGTCTTCTCAACTGGTTCCTGCAGTTCGCCTGTTCGCTTCTATCGGTACGAAGGATGTATATTCCCGCGTCCCACCAATACACATAGCGGACCACCTGTGTGGTAGAATGACATTACTCACGGAGACAAGACGGACTGAAATGGCCATTTCTGCCTTATTAGCCGTCATCAGCCGACCAACAATACCGGCTGATGAGTGGCTGCTGGCGGAGCCCTAGACTGAGCTCCAAGGACTAGTGTGTTGCGTGACGTGATTGGTGAAGGCTCCTCTACCATCCTCATGGAGGGGTCTGAAAAATGGGCATAGTGATATGAAACTAAATGTTCACCCAAGGGGTGAGATTTCGACCTGTCTGTGGCGATTTTAGTGGGAAGAAGCTGCTATTCCATTAGTAACATTTTACGGTATCAAAATATCCGGAAAGAAATTTGTTTTTAAAAAAAATCTGTTGGAACTCATTTTTTCTTGATGTCCACGCAGCAGACGGGTAGAATGCATTACTTCTACGTTTCCCCAACTGCTTCGCAAACGTGAATCGGGAAACCTCTTTCCTACCTGTCGTCGCATCATTATGATGGAGCAGTCTGAGACCTGCTAGCTTTCAATAGGTTAGGAATAACCAAAAAAATAAGTAGCCACCACTTCCTAGATCAACGTATACTCTTCTGCTTTTTGCACATACTTCTTCTATTTCATTTAGAGAGCTGTTAGGTCATGTACCACAAATAAGATGCACGCATGACAACAAGTCATTAAAACCTTCTAAAAGTCTGACTGACTGTGCTAAGGAGGGCGAATGACAGAAAAAGCAGTATTTCAAATGTTTTCACACATGAAAATGGAGCCTTACTTTCAATAGCCAGTTAAGATTATCAGAAACCTTCGGTAAGAAGCCTAGCAAAAGGCTGAACGATAACATAAGTTTTGCCTTTCAAGCGATCACTGAGTTTGATATGAGAGCGCAACAGAGTCTCGTTTCTTTTAGTTTACTTAGACGCCTTCATTCGACTCCTTTTTGTCGTCCAGTATGGTGCGACTGATAACAAAGAGTCAGATGTTTTACGTACCGATAAAAAAGAAAAAGCGCCTTTTGCTTTTCTACAGAGAACCGATCTATCTTACTGGCAGCAGGTAGGGGAGGGGGTCCAATAAGGTGGTCGATACCATAGTATCTAAGTGGGCTGGCGAAGCTACTAAATGTCAGCGTATATGTGCAAAGCTTCTCCACCTGCATCTATTCTTTGCAGCACAACAGCTTAACTGGCGGCTTGGTCGTCCAAATTGCAATTTATGAGCCAGGGAAGTGTGTTGTGCATCAAAAGCAAGGGGCACCAGTAGACCGCACATAAAAGACAAACTTTTACTTACGGAACAGTGTCTCGTCTTCCACAAGACATAAAAACTGTCGATGGGGATTGCAGGAGGCGTTTTATGATGTAGTAATAACTTGGTAGGAACTTCGTCTTAAGTTAAATAATTCCACGCACATTATAAACTCTCTTTTAAATTCTTCCTCGTAACCTTCTTTCATCCCGCCCGGTACGAAAGGAAGGTTATCATTCAGGTCGTTATTTTCGACTACAAATAAGTCTAGCGTATTATTTGACCGGTCACTTTAAGTCGCCTATTTTTATTAATTCCAGTATAAAAAGCTTGACTTTAGGGGACTACGACCAGTGTATTTGAGCTAGTGATGGTTCCTCTAACCGGAAGAATTTCATTTTTTCTCTAAGTGATCAACTAAGGTGACGCCGCGATGTCAATACAAACACAATTACCTCAAAATATACATTTGCTTCACCATAAATGTTATTTGGAACATATTTTTTAAGGTTAAGACTACAAAAATACATTAATGATTACGTGATGATGGAGACCTTCTCGGCTGCCTGAAACGCAGATATGAACCAAAAACTGCACAGTTCAGGCGCTGTGCACTTTTAGATGTTTTCCTAGTGCGTATGTGTGCGGACTGACCTCCATGCCAGTCGGAGCGGCTGATTACTGTGCCTCGTTCCATTTGCTGCATCCGGCTGCCTTTTTTACTTAAGGGCCGCCGAAGAACGCCCGAATTAGCCCAGTCTAGAGAATAAAGCAAGTCTCCAATTTAATTGCTTTCTGGCAACGTAGTACAAGGTCAAGAAAATGTTGACTGGGTCACCTGACCAAGCTCAGGGGGTAGATGCGGATGTGAATGCTGGGCCGGATTCTGCAAACGGATTGTAGAAATGCACTTGAACTATGAATTTTTTAAGAGGAACCTAGTACATGGTGTTCAAACTTACCTACGATCGTACTTATGAATAGCCTCGGACATCCAGAGGACTCCAGCTTGAAGATCGGGACAGTGCATGTATGGATCATTTTAAGTGAATAGCAAGCAACAGCTATGCATTTGAGCATCCCTCTAGACTTTGGCTTGATCGGAAATAGTATCTTCAAAGCAAATCTAAACGCATGGACAGTTTCTGTCGGCGTATCTCCAGACAACAAGTTTAATAACGTGAGCAGAATACAGCCAAGCTTAAACCAACCGCATACTTATATCCATTACTGCTCCACATATGCTTTCGCAGTTATTAAAGTTCGGAATGAAGGCCGTAAAGGGTAAACCTGTGATAATTTGTGTTATAAGTTCTGGTGGTTAATCTTAAAGTGAAGTGCATTCCAGTAAACCACGACTTTAGCACTACAATTTCTTTTGCAAGGTGCTCAAGCATGCACAGAGTCTTTTACGTTCTAGACAAGACTGCCTCACGTTTGTCCTTAATCCGGCGAAATGTCATAGACATTTAGAACTAAAACGTCTTGGCTTAAAAACAAATGTAGACCTCATTAAATTGTAACTGGGAGCTTGCTAAACTGGCAAGCACATGACAGCGACTCAATGGCTGGGGAATCTGTAAAATATGTGAGAGGATGTGCGTTTGAATCCTCTTTGCTGTGCAACTGATTTCTGAATCATCTGGAGCACTTCTAGATTTTTTTCGAAATGGTTAAATATAACAGGGAAATAAAACCAACAAGACAGAGCAAATTATACTGATTCACTGTTGGCACATACATGGAACAACTAGAGGTAATGGCATGTTCGCCAGTGAAGAAATGGAGGTAGGCTGTATGTTTTCGCAACTGTCTTCTGACTTGTAAGCAGAGTCAACATTCACCTGCCTGTAGTCTAGTCACTCAGGCATTTATTTTGTTTGAATAAATCCTCGCGACCCTTGTTAAGTTATTTACTCCTGCTGTTTAACAGTTCTTGATGCTATCTACAGTCGTTTATTTATAAATTAGTGAAACTTTGCTGGTGCATTGCTTCTCCCTCCCGGTTTATTGATTTTCGGGAGGAAAAGCAAAACCACGTGTGCGTAGGTGTGGTAGCCAAAACTGCATATAGGCTCCAGCCCACAGCCTACTGCGGAGGCAGTAAATCACATTGGCATGAAGACCGTTTTCGGACAGGCAAAGGCGCCATCGTGGGGGGTGGGGGGAGGCAGTCTTCACACTCTGACGCCTCCCGCAACCGCTTTCTGACATATAAGAACCAACGTTAGTAGGATTTTCGGATTCTCTTATCATCACAAACTGGAGTTTTGCAGTCGTTGACTTATGCCAAGTAACACAACCTCTTTAGGCCATTTGAGCTAGATGCGCAGAGGGGGATTGGTCAAACGCGGACGACCTCGCAGTTAATTTCCAAGCGCGCAGGGAGACTTCAGGAGAATGTATAAAATATTCATTCAACTTTCACATTGACAGCTATGTGAGCGTAAACTGACAAAATTCCGAGGATATTACTGTTAAAACTCACGAAAGCAATCAAGAGTAGGACGTGGTCACTTATAACTTTATTTGGAAAATAAACTGACGTTCAGTCTAAGACTAAGGACATTAGTGCAGTTGCCTTGGTGCCAGGGATATCACCTATCAGTTTGTTGAGCAAACTAACAGCTCAAACCCACGAACCCCAGCATCTTATTTTGATTTCTCGACTAGGAAGCCGCGTGTTAAGCGTGGGAGATTTTGCACTCAGATATGGACAGACTCCTCTGAACGAGAGTGTTTCAAACAGCCTTCCCAATGACTTCCTGCAGTCCTATGTTAGTTCATGTGAAGGCAGATTGTCCGAAAGTTGAGCGAAATGACTACGATCACTTTTGTCGTTGAGGAAAATACGAACATGACTGACCAGGAATGCATGCGAATAGACCTTTGCCTTAACCGCGACAATGATTCGAAGTAAAAAGCGTCTCCCTATGAAGTTTTTTTACTATTTCTCGCGAATTTAGGAAATAAAAGTAATTTTCCCACGTAATGTGCATAGTCAAGACATGCACAGAATTAGCTAGGTTGTTTATGCCAGCTCGCATGCAGTAAGCCGAGAAAAAAACAGATAATAACCCTGCTAAGCATAAACATCCTAGAAGAGAATGCGACTACCTTCATAAAATGTCGATTGCTATCTTGAAATGTTGTCTCAGTATGGAATAACTACTTATGGAAAATTTAAAAGCAAAATAACACATAAATTAGAGCAAGATGAGGTTCGGTAGCACCACCTGATAGACACAATACTGTCGGGGTTGAGGTTAAGGGTAAGGGTTAGGGGTTATAGTTAGACGTTAGGGTTAGGAGTAAGGGTTAGAGCTAGGAGTTAGCGCGACTACTCAACTATTTAAAGTACAACCGGGCATTCCCAATAGCTTTTCTTCTGCATACATTTACTTGACCTCGTCGACTGTGCGTTCCCCGGCTCCACCTGTAAAAGCCCCTATTTCCACCGGTTCCGTAGAAGAGGTGAGTGGTGTGGGCTTACTTCAGGTGGGGTTACCAAACCACATCCGACCCAATCTAGTTCCAAGATATTATTGACTCCTGGATTTCGATAAACGCATTTCCATTTGCGCACTTAAAACTTGGCTGATAATCAGTACGTGTTTTTCCACGACGGTTCGACGCCTATGTGGATTCAACCATATTTTGCTGAAAGTGCATAAAAAGTCATTTTATGCGTTTTTCGCAGGAACTTTCGTTCCACTGAATTTTATACTTGAAAAAGGGTCTTTTATTTTTAGAAAATTTCCAGCTTCGGGCTAGTTTAAAACCACACCTGAACGTAACCACTGAGGTTCACTATGTATCGAACAATCTTTCCCTTTAAGGTGCCAAAGCCCCAATTAACTGCGCCTGTAAACTTGACTACAGAGACTACAGTCTCTAATTAAGTAATGCACGGTTGCACACTGCGATTGCAGTATCATTCCCAACTTTTGCGCCACTTACAACTGACAAAAATCCCAACTTCAATAGGGTACGTTTGCAGTGCTTTTCAGTGTCCGTCCGATTTCAGTCATCTTTTATAAAAAGAAGGCATAGACAAAGGTTTTCCTACATCCGCTTATTGAAAATACAGTTTTTATAAAACTTCTTATTAAAGGAAGGTAGCAGTGCTAGTTTTAAATGTTCTAGTCGCGGTTATCGGAGGAATCGGTAATATAATACGTTTGTCCTAATATCTTTAGGCTTATTGAATTTGTTCTTAAAGCATGCAATGCGACCATTACGTAGAAATATTCTGTGTGCGCCAAAAGGCTTGTTTATAAGGACGTGTAGGATTCTCTGATTATTTTTAGAAGAAAGGACGCAAGTGACAACGCATGTTGTTTTTAAAACTTTTTGAGTGTCTGTTGACTTTTTTACGAAATACTTCCTCAAGTAACAGACTTAAAGAAGTCTTAAAGTCCCGAAACATAAGTAAATTTGCATAGGCGCCAAAGGCCAGTCAAAAAGTACCCGGCACAAGAATGCCGATTTTCGTGACTGCACCATGCACAAGTGTCTGAAGAGATGCTCGCTCCAAAGCCCGCATACTGTCATATAGCCTTTGACTTAAAACTATATTCTCTGCTATCCTCTTTCGCAATTGCACCCTAGGGAATTTTTCTAATCTAAAATTCACGACTGAAAACCCTTCTACAACTCTCGGTTAGGGGTTAACGAGTTTCGGCACAGACTTTACTGATAACTGAACATAACATCATGGTTACTCAAAAAATAGGATGAACAAATGGTACAAATGTGGTCCGAAGGGTTTCTGCCGAGAAATTTCAATCCGGAAAGTGGCTGATAACGCTGGTCACCTACTAATGCACTGCAACGCACACATGAACAAAGCGATCCGTAATGTATCCACTTATCTGCGTCCGCCTACACCCTGCACTCCAGAAAATCATTAGCGTCATACGTGTTGCTTATACCACCCCCAGCCTCCTGCACAAATTAGATAAGGGCATACGCACATACGTGGCGGAAGTCGCAATTCAGACAGTGAAATGAACACTTTTGTACAAAGTAAGCCCATATGCAGTTAGATAGACGGGCAGTTCCGCATGATCAAAAGGGTAATAGCAGGCTTTTTATGCCTCACAGTATTTCCAATTCAATTACAGGGTTATGGTTCTAATAGTATTATTGCATTGCAGGCATTTGGACACATCAGAAACTGTTATTATTAAGGGGTACGGCCGCACAGGATGGAGACACCAAAGTGTTGCGCTATCGTATCACATCTTACCGGGTATGATACATGTATCAAAATGCGAGATAGGGGACTTTATTCTGCACCAGCTACGGCATCCGACCTTATCTCCATTCTACTAGATCCAGAGCTGTCACGTCGGAGGGATCAGAGAAGGTGATGCCGATCATACCCATGTTTCTAATGTTGTGTTTCCTCCCTTTAGTGGGGTATCTCGGTCCTCATTGTGAGGACTAAACTGCAATAGTTCTCTCGCGATACGGCCGTATAAAGACTCCGCAATATTTGGATATGATCTATTGATTTGAATGGGTATAAGTTAAGGGAGACGCAGATATGTTGAACGTGTGAACGGCGGCTTTGTATTGGGTAGCCCAGAGTGTCCATGCCCATCACCAGCTTCCGTGGTCTTGTGCCACAATTAAAGAATCATGTGAGCGGGAAGCGAAAGAGAGAGAGATGACAGTCCTCAGGAGCTCCCTCACCGCTGCTCACGCAGGCGATGGTGGCCATCTCCAACATCGACGAATAAGATATCAAGCCTCCCCTAGGTTATAAATAGCCAATGGTACCGATGGTTCTGGAAACTTTAGGACAGTACTATTATAGGGAGTCAGGCCTGAAGTTAAATATTCTGTGTCGTACTTAACAGCCTCGTCGAATCCCCCAGCCAGGCGGGATTAGAAACTTAAAACGACCAGTGGAAGATAGAATCAAGAGAATAAAAATTAGTGGACGTAGGACAGAAATGCGGAAAAGACATTTTAATACATTGGTAATGACGTTCAGCCAGAGGCATTGTCTGCACATAAGCTGTGACAGCACCATTAAATATACAAAGCCAGAGACGTCATCCTCAAAAGATACTCCATAACCAAAAAATCACGAATGGGATCGAACTGAATATGACGCCCTTTTGCAAGTTCAATATACAGAAGAAGAAGAAGAAGAAGAAGAAGAAGAAGAAGAAGAAGAAGAAGAAGAAGAAGAAGAAGAAGAAGAAGAAGCGATCACTGGAACAAGAAGTTTATTGGCCTGACGTTTCGCATTCTCACTCGAACCAATAATCAAAGACGGTTGCAGATAAAGGTAGTGGAGGTACCAAGACTGCAGTATTTATAGTACGTAGCTGCAGTGGGACCACACGCGTACTATAATTAACAGTTCTTGTGATCACCACTGGGGGTCGTAATTAAGGCGATGATGGCTTGTCAGTACGCGTCTGAGTCACTAATGGCCGCGATTTCATCATCCTTGTTGGATGTTGACGTAATTATGGCTCGGCAATTTGGCCTGCTGTCACCAGGATAATTGAGCGTCCGCGTCTTCCCTATGTGACTAAGTCCCCTGCTCAGGGAATGTCTCAGAACTAAGCAGCTCGCTGCTCACGAGGCTGACAGCACTTGCGAGGATTTCGGCCTCTTGGAAGTTTAAAATATGGCCGTGATCAGTAGAATGAGTTGCTACCTGAGAGCTAGTTTCTTCTCTCTTCACCGCTGCTACGTGCTCAGTCATGCGCGTTCGGAGTAATCTCCCAGTTTCTCCGACGTAGTTGCTCTGCTCGCAGCCGCACTAGATCCGGTAAACGACTCCAGACGTTTGCTGCCGTGGCAGGGGTCTTCCATTCTCGTGAGGCCTCGAGTTGCTCGAATCATGGCTCTCAGGCTCGCAATTCATCAACAAACGCAATGACCTCCAGGTACCATACTCATTTCTGAGACATTCCTTGAGCAGGGGAATCAGTCACATGGGGATGACGCGAACGCTCAACTATCCTGGTGACAGCAGGCCACATTGCCGAGCCATCATTACGTCAACATCCAACACGGATGATGAAATCGCGGCCAGTTGCGACTCAGACACGGACTGGCAAGCCATCATCACCTTAATTACGACCCAACCGATGATCGCGAGAGCTGTTAATTTTATTACGCATGTGGCCCCACACCAGCTACGTACTATAAATACTGCAGTCTTTGTGCCTCCACTACCTTTATCTGCAACCGTCGCCGATGATTGGTTCGAGTGAGAGTCCGAAGCGTCAAGCCAATAAACTTCTTGTTCCCATGATCGCACCTTCTTCTTCTTCTGCTTCTTCTTCTTCTGAATTTCTTCCTGAAGCTCGCCTGTTCGCTTCTATCGGCAGTTCAATATGCCTTGGAAATGGAAACCCAGATTAACTAACCGATTTACCTGAGACATTGTTCTGTTCAGTGGGTGCACATAATTTTTCATGCTATTCAAACCAAGGTAGTGTTGCATTCTAAAACTAACAACTCCATACGGTGAAGTTTATAAGCCCTGGAAGGAAATCATTAGCGGGGACTGGTATAAAATCCACATGGCGAAGTTACCGACTCATGAAACCAAAAGGAACAATAGGCGGCTAAGTAAAAACCGTCATGTAGGCCGAAATATTTTGCTAGTTTCAAATTTTATTAGGCATGACAGTGGAATTCATTAACCGCTCACCTGGTGAATGCTGCCGCAACGGAGAGCACCCTGACAAACGTAACTCTACAGGAACGAGCATGCAGGACTGTGAAGTTATCAAGAAGTTTTGTAATCACTCAAGAAACGAACATGTTTTCGCGCAGAATCTCTCAACGAAATGACGTACTTAGTCCCCGACAAAGGTCCTCCGGTATAAATCCGGATTTTTCATAAAGGACGCTGACTCAGTCAATTTCACTGCTTCCTTTGAACTTGTGCCGCGCCAGTATCACGAACGAGTCGGAAAATCTCCTCTTACGTAATGCAGTCGTCCCGGGTAATGTCCTATGAGAAACCTAATGTGCTTACCTAGGGAAAAAATCCTGCATTGAGTTCATCAATCGCAGCGAAACAATCCTAACGCTATCGAAAAAACTGTCTCCTTTTGGTCCCCAACAGAGTGTAGTATCTAACCAAAACTCATTATTGTCTGTCATACGAAAGATCTACCGAAACAATGATGGCTTGGCTCAGTAACCTTCCATACAACCCAGGTGCCCCGACCCGGTCAATCATCTGATCACGAGACGCCCACGTAGGGGTTTAAAACCTTTTTTAAAAACTAAACTTTTTCCCAGCAAACTCACAAATGGTGGTTCACTCGAGCGAATCGACTTAAGCAATGAACAACTTAATCATCTGGGAAGTTCATATCATTAAATATCAAGACTTTTCACATTGCTCATGGAAAAAACGGATCATTGACCCGCCACGTTAGCATTATGGTGATGACGACGGTCAAACAATAGTCCAAGGACCCTTCACTCGCCTGGATTACTGCCTCACAATCATTAACGTCGTCGGTGGGGTCTTTGGTGAGCAGACAATGAGCATACCGATGACTTTTCCGATCTCTGGGTTGATTTTTGAGTCTGTCTTCAAATAACTGAAACAAACGGGGTTCGAGACGCATAAAGCCAAGTTCTGGACCCGCCACCTTGAGGACAATTTCGTCGGGCATTGTTATTAACCTAATTTGGTAATTGCAGGAACACCTGAACTGGACATCTAGCAGAGTGAATAGACTTCCCATCTTGAACGCCACCGTCTACTGTCAACGTGGTGACCACCTTTTCTCAGTCTAATGGAAGAAAGAAACCCAGCCTCTGAAAAAGCAACTCTGTCCGAAGTTTTGGATGTACAATCAAAACAGCAGTGGACACAGTGACTAGGTGATGCAGTGACTAAGTACGTACCTACGAATAAATTCTGCAGTTTCCGCATTGATCGCAGATGGTCGTACCCTTTGGGAAAACTGCCTGATTGTCCATATGCGGATAGAAGATGGTCGTAATCACGCCCCACGTGTTGGTGATTGACGAGCAAATGACCCGGGAATGGGGAATGTTAACACCAATGCTAGAAACAACTTTCACACGCGCGCCCCCCACGTGACTAATAACGCTACTCAGGCAGGATCTTGACGCGGGATAGGAAAAAGTGGTAGTAGTAGTATTAGTAGTAGGAGGAGGAGGAGGAGGAAGCGGAGGAGGCCATTGCGCTTGTTGATAGACTGCGGATCGGACATCCCTGACTCAAACAACTCGCAGTTCATGTCGCTGTTAAAACTCATGATAATCACCCTTTCGTTAAACTTGAACGTGTTGGCGAGCCCTGTCAAACCATTCGCGGCCTGACATTTGGTGTCTCTGCCCGTCACCGCGCACGTATGTTCTACCTTTCGCATCCATAGTAATCTTCCAGTTCTTTTAAGGATTTGCTTTACTAGCAAATGCGCCAGATCCGGTAAACGCCTCCGGACGTTTTCGACATGGCAGTGGGTAAGTAACCCGCCAACGGAGGTCACATCACCTTTTGATGTCATGTCCCTTTTTGCTTCCATTCCCGGGATCTGACAGTCGAAAGCGCCGAATTACCTTTTCTCTCATGGTGACTATGGGGCGAAATCAGCCTGCCAGTTCATAAATTCAGTTCGTTTATTGCGCAGCGCCGACTCAGATGGTAATGAGGTGTGTACAACGAATTCCTTTGCGGATAAATGTTCAGATCGAGCCTTCTTCGCGTTATTTTACGTAAATGGACCCTCGGATTTTGCCGACAACGATACTGCTTGATGTTCTCAGTTCTTAAAAAAGAGTTTCTTGTAACGAAGCTCATGTGTTAAATATATCACCCATAAAGAGTAATTGATCTTCCCTCATGAACTTATCAGCTTAGAGTTTTATTTTTCGGTCGCATGCGCCAAGTCTAACAGGCATATGTAATACTGACGTTTACCTCTCGACAGCAATGAAACGTGGCCTGTGTGGCAAAATCAAATTTCATCAAAAAGGCTGCCATCGTCACAGTAACCTTTGCCCAACCGAACCCTCTAGTTTCGCATCATGTTATACGCTCGGTTTTTAATCCTCATAACGTTTCTCCATATGATTATTTTTGACCACCATTTATCCTATGATAGATTCGATAAAAATGAAGTAAAAACCACGCCTAACACTTTGGTTTGCTCCTATCATGCGGCTTCGCTCAATATGATCATTACGTCTTCCTGAAAGTCCATTTTATTAGCCTTTGAGGTTCAGTCGCCGATCTAGTTATAGCATGTAGCATGTTCGTTCTTGTTTACCCCTGTGTGCCGGTCTAGAACCTCGCAGACAGCTGCAATGGACGGGTACAGCTGCGGAAGGAATATCGACAAAGAAAAGGGAGGACAAAATGGCCATTTATGACTTATAAGCCCTCTCTAGGCGGACATAGCCGGGTTACGCAAACCACAATTTGATGTACGGCCGGCTGACGACGGCTAACAAGCCGTACGTGGTCACCCAAGTTTCCTTTGTCCTTTTCAGCATTCCTTCAGCGGCGATTTTTATAGTTTTCACCTGTACCGTAGAATTATTTGTCCTAAAACGGATCGGTACGTGGTTCCTTGTGCTGCAGGAGTATTAACAGGCTTAACAGTATTAATTTAATGTTGTTTTTTTATCTCATTTAAGGCCTCTTATGGGGAAACGGATAGCGTTATTTCCTCAAGCACCTTCATCTCCGACAGCTTCTACAGCAACAACGGGTTGATTGACCCGGCAGCCTATGACTTCCCCAACCGGGTTGTGACGAAGATTAGGCGCTATGAGAAACTCTCCGACTTGGAGCTATCGTCTTTCACAGACACCTCATGCCTGTCCACGCCTCCGCAACTGCGTCTAAAGATGCAGCCACAACTCCAAACCGATGAGGTCTGCCTCAGCTCTAAGGTAATTCGGATTTTTTTGCGTAGTTGATGCATGTTCTGAGAATCAGTTTGCAAGTTCTGGAGCATTGACTTTAAGATGCAAAGCTTAGTTAATTTGCGAGCGAGCGAGCGTACATGGTGTTGGTGACCAGTTCGACAATAGAGCCTGAAAATGATAAGATCTGGTATTAACAAATATCGGTTTTATTCTGGAAATTAAATTAATTCTTCCTTTGTCGTTTAGCGAAGTCGGGTGCCGGCAACTTTTATGCGATGTTAAAGCATATTGTCAGTGAAGTCTTGTTGCGTTTAGATATCCTTTCTTGGTCCAACCAACAAGGCACATGCAGCTACATATTTCTGTTCACCAAGTTTATACTATTTGATGCAGCACCTCTGAGTTTTTCTCCCGCGTACTTGCCGCTACAACCTCAGATCGCTCCTTTTTTACAGACCAGAGGTTGGAAGAGTGCCGATAAGGACGGCAACAAGACGTTTGGTCCATTCGAGCGCTCTCCTGGCTAAATGATTGATGTCCATTCTCATACTACTATTTCGTGCGCAAAGATCGATATTTACCGCGCTTAGCTCATCAAACGCCAACTTTGTTACTGCATCACATAAACTGTTTCGATGTGCTGGAATTCCTTACTAAGTTTGAAAATAACAGCTTGTATGACCTAAGTGTATGCACAATAAAAGCTTTAAATGATATATTAGAGCAAAATAAGGTTCGGTTATTAACTGTAGACTTCGAAAACGACCGAAGAGAGGCGACTATTCATTTTCTCCCACGAAATACAAACTTAGCTATGCTATCGCGAAATAATTAAGGATTTTTGAAGCCGATGAAGTGTTTGAAGGTGCTTAATACGATGTCCGAACAAGCGGCAATACTTTTGCGTGACGTCTGTTTTCTCAAGTGAGTCAAGACGGAGTTTCTGTGGTACCGTTTGTCTAATTTTTAAAGTCCTTTTTGTGCAAGCATTGTTAAAAATTAGAAAAGAGCCTTTCGGATTGTTGAGTTTCGGAGGCTTGTTATATAAAATATGATAGGTTTCGTCTGGTAGTGGTGTTTTCATCTAACTCAAATAACTAATGATGATGATGATGATGATGATGATGATGATGATGATGATGATGATGATGATGATGATGATGATGATGATGATGATGATGATGATGATGATGATGATGATGATGATGATGATGATGATGATGATGATGATGATGATGATGATGATGATGATGATGATAATGATGATGATGATGATGATGATGGTGATGATAGCTGAAGGCAAATAAATAGTCCCAACGACCTTAAGGAGCGTCTTGTCGCTCTGCGACTAAGAAACCACTGTGCATATAATTGGCGGTTTTCATGGTCCTTAATCACATGCCCCAATGTGACCAGGCCATAGGTCATTTTAATTGCGCAAAAGAACTGCGAAGCACGCCTCGAATCGACACGATCATTGATTTTTGCTTAACTTATACGGAGCCGAGTTTCTCCTATTAAATCCTTATGACGAAAGATGCTCGAAGGATAAATGCTTCGGTCATTTTTCTGTCGTAGATGCTTTCTCATGCGCTTGCCTTAAGAACTGTCCATGGCTCGTCATTATCAAAGGTCGAAGTGTGTCTGTAGACGGACAGTGCGCGCGTTAACCAATCCCACGTCGATTGTCTTTCCGCTATCTGGTGCCGCTTCCGATACGCCTCAGTCATGAGCGAAATGGCATTAAGCCTGTCAAGATGTTCCTTTTAACCTTTTCTACCATTCTTAAAACAGAAGGAATAAGCAGCGAAAAAGTACTAACCTAGACAAATGGATTCAGTTTGGCGCTTAAGCGGAGAATGGCGCAGATTTAGCTGAATAAGTGCATTTCTTTGAGAACTTCAAAAGTGAAAACAATAACGTTCAAGTCTTTTATGCGTAAACCTTAAATCGCCTTCCTGTTAACACCCAGACGTTTCTCAGCAATCCTTTCCATATTTTTACATGAAAACATAAGCGTATGCTTAACCAGGTTATGCTATCTGCAAAACAAATATGGTGGCCACTGAGGGTGTAAAATAAAGGTGGTGTCGTGCTGTCTTTGTTTTTTTAAACCGTGGGTCCGGGCAATTCTGATCTTTTGGAAATTTGATTTTTTCTCCTTATCCGTGGCTCTTTGACGTCTGAGAACAAAACTCTTAAGGGGCCGAGGAGTGTCCTTTATGAAAGACGCTGCAGAGCGCTGGAAGATTTTTAATGTTTTTTTCCAATTGTTCCGCTTTCCTAGCTGAAACTGCCACAGAAACGAGAAGTGAACTGGGGTGACCGGAGCTCCATTCGACTCTCCGTTGACTACACAAAGCAACCCTCCAAAACTTCCGTATCAGCGAACTCTGACAAAGTATGCCCAACTTGCCAAAGGAATCTAATAGTTAATATTTTATTAGTAGAAGTATAACGTAAATCTAACGCCTTCTTGCATGGTCATCTGTTTCGTTGATTTTCATTTTCGATTTAGGGAATTTAATGAGCGAATACTTTATTCGTGACTGGCCAAAGAGAACCCGAGAATTTTGATCTCGCAAATTCTAAAATATCTAAAATAATTATGAAAGATGGCAGTTGGTCTTTGTTAATTAACTCTCTCATGATTCCAAATCTCATTCAAATCGGCTTTTGAAAGCATAACAGACTATGCCGTTCCAATTGGTTCAAATAATTAATTTTCTCACTAGCCCCATTGATGCAGTGGCCTTGCTATTCTATAATGCCATTTTCCGAGTAAACAAAGCATTTGAGATTTAAGACCACTTATAATTATTAGTTCAAAGCACGACCAAATATTTCAGCAAGTTTCAACCTATACACGAATTTTGCCTTCTAGATTCATCATGGCCTCTTGCTTAGGCTTTTAATTCGGTTTATAAGGCCTTCTCCAAATACAACAGTACCCATGGAAAGCGCTGTGAGTAAACAGAACGACGGAGTTCTATCGCAATGTTATCTGGAAGTCAAAAGCTTCTATAAATAACTTGGTAAGAGTTTTGTGTCTCAGGAAAGAAAACTAAAAACAGTCATCTTGTAAAGCAGACTAGTCGCTAAGTTTACGTAAGTTATTGCAGTTAGAGACTAATACGTAGTCGTAGTTGGTCCTGGGTAAATATTGATTACGTTTGTTAAAAGGTTTTACGTGCGTCTCCCGTTCAACCGCAAATTGCTGTGATTCTAGCAGTATGCTCAAAAATACGCCTCACTATACATCTTTCACGGTTAGAGATATCTATCGAACGCATATCACAGGTAAGTGGCTCTCTTTCGAAACAACCGGCATGTCCCCCGTTACCCCAGTAAACAAACACAGAGTAGATGTGGACTAAATTGGCCGTCTGCAAAGATATCCATTAAAATATTGAAGAAGTTAAATTCGGTGAGCGTGCGTTCTTGATTATTCATTTTCAGGCCAGCACAGTTATGTAAAGTGCAGTAGGGCAGTCAAAGTAGAAGACTAGTCAGTGAATAGTTGTCAGTGGGGGAGAGTGGGTTGAGGGCGTACAGACATGTCAGACATCAGGGGGTAATTATGGTCGAGTTCTGTCAGGGGCATGTAAAGGGGAATTCTGACAGTGAGTTGTGCTTCTGTTTCGCTGCTGCAGGACGATGTGACAGGATGCGAGCGTAAACAGCTGGGCTCCGATGAAAGGGGTGCCTAGCACCATTCTGCGAAGTCAAATCGAGGCATGGAAAAGTCAACTTCGTTGCGCAATCACGACTCACTTGGCTGACAGCAGCCACCGAGCAGACGTGAACCAAGTATATCGTGTCATCTTTAAAGTCCCCGCGAGGTACTCCAAGTTCCTGCGCCAGAGGATTCCTGCGACGGCAGAGACCGTGGCTACACGGTTAACGAACCCAATCTTGTGCTCCGAGAAGGTATTTATACAGGCCCTTGAGTTTCCCTGACCAGAGCCGAGTCTTACATGGCTGTTTCGGCATCCTACCACATCGCTCTGCAGCGGCGAAACGCAAACACAACTCACTGTCAGAATTCCCCTTTACATGCCCCTGACAGAACTTGATTATAATTACCCCTGATGTCTGACATGTCTGTATGCCCTCAACCCTCTCTTCCCCACTGATAACTATTCATTGACTACTTTTCTACTTTGACTGCCCTACTGTACCTTATATTACTGTGTTGGCCTGAGGATGAATAATCGAAAACGCACGCTCACCAAATTTGACTCAAATTGATAGTTCTTCAAAAAGGACAAATCTAGAAGTTGAGTCGCCAGCACTCATGATTATTGACTTTTGCCTGATTAAATTCCACTACGCCTTCCTTATGCTACAAGCAGGTGATGCCAATTCTTGACATTGATCTACTTCTGTTTTCTTGTGAGTTAGCTTTCTAACATAAGATCAACATGTGAATGGCGTCCGGTTGAACTGTTCGCAAGGTGGCCTAGAATGACTCATCGAAGTTTTTCATTAGGTTTCGGTTCGTTTTGACTTATTTCTGTTAATACTATGGGCAACGCGGAATAAATCTCTTTATAATTCTGACCTGTTTGACATTTTCCTTTTGGTTACTCAGGATGAACCCAATTATTTCAAAATCTGCTTTGCGACCGAGTTCTCAGACGACGAAGACGTCGAAGGACATGATATCGAACCAATAGAAGTTGAGGAAGACGTGAATTCTGATCTTCCGGAGTCTTTGCCGAAACAAGAACAAGCATTTGTACCAAGATTTTCACGACCAGCCGACAGATTCTACCAAGCTAACGTTGTGAGTGTTTCTTTGAATTCCCTTTACGTCTGCAGATGATTAAAAACGATATATGCAAACCGATAACTCCAACGTAAGGGCACTTTCAGTAGGCGAGGCTCCTCCTGACAGTAAGGTACCTTATTATTATTATTTTATTCAGAGGCTTACCTTACGATGTTCGAAAGCAACGTATTCATGGAAATATAACATGCTATAATTAGTATTTCCTGGCTTACTTACACCCGGCCAAATCTGACGGAATAACCGGTCACCAAATTTATTCCAATAGCGGGAGCTTACCTTCCCTTTTCCGTTCGCCTTAGCCTACTTAATTGCTAGTGTCTGTGGTGCAGTTCGAAACGACCATACTTTCCCCCACTCCACGCACTGTAGTCAGTTCCAGCCGTTCAGCGAAGGAGACTTCCTAACCAGCTATCAGCAAATCAACCAACTGTGTTGTCATGAAAATCGACATCCTTATTCCATAGCCTCATTCGATTGCCCTGTAAATAGGCTGGTCTTTGGTTTGGATACCCAGTAGATTGACAAGCAGGGCGATTTACCTAATAAGTTAAAACCAGCATATGTCTCTTGTGGGACCTGCAAAAGTTGAACAGAAGAAGAAAAGGCGTTCACCGGGATTCAGAGTTTCGACAGGCAATTTGGGTCTTTCATTTTCGGAGACTGGAGCGATGTACACATAGTCCTCAGCATATGGCTTGTAATTGGCATCCGCACTGTGTATGAGGCGTGGACCGCCAATGTGGACTGTAGATGCAAAGCAGACAGTATTTTCAAGATGGCACCTGCAAACTGCATTTTCACTGTTAAAAGTTAGACATTGTTCCCCAGATAATTACAGTTCTGCATGAACGCTTCGAGTCTTTGACCAAGCGAATAAAGCTTGAACTATGAAAATCCGAGTTAAACGAGGACCGGATTGGTTGCTTTCCATTCGGGCTTTATGGCATACAGCGAAAAACGTCCAAGCACAAAATTTCCGCTTAGTCAGATTTTTTAATGGAAGTAGATCTGGCAAACGAAATTCCCAGCTTATTCATTAGAAGAGCACTGTCTTCAATTAAGTAATTAACTAAAACGAAGCAGCAGGATATCCATGGGTGCCCCAGCTAAACAAGTTACATGTGAAACTTAAGTTCGTTCAAGTTTTGACCAACATATCCCGCTTCGCCTGAAAAAATGAACCGTTTCTTAGCCAAACGAAGCCAAACTACCTCTTCAAATTCAAAAACTTCGTAATTCAGGATGTAAAACTCTACTTCCTTAGCAGATTACGTTTCGATATTTTCAACAACTATAGGACAAAGCTCCGTCGGTAGGAGAATGGCCCGCAGCGAAATCACCCCCAGATTCTCGGGTCCTCCGTCCTCCAATGCAGCTTGTGGAAGATTCTTGTATTCCCTGCTGGTCTAAAATCACCAGCCGTTTTGACGCCACATCTGCAGCCTAAGCATCAGGGACAAAGGACTTGTCCTGATAGGACTCACTTAGCATTTCGACTGTTTAGTGTCTTTGTGCTCCCTTCATTCCCTTCCTTCCCTACACTTACGCACTACGCCACATCGGGCATCCGACTGGACATCACAGCATGCACACAATGTTCCCAGGCTTTTAAGCAAATCACAACGTAGTGCCAGAGACCAGTACATTAGTCGGAAACTGCAAATAAAGGTCCGCAACTGACGCAACAATTGTCAAAAATGCGACATCCTCGCGTCTGTCAGAAACTGTGAACTTTAAAGTCAAGAACGACTTCGGCCTTCATGGACGCTATTCTGAAACTGTGTCTGCTTAGTACATGAGGTTTAATATAGTAAACCCACCATCTAGTTCAATGAATTCGGCAGCGTAAGTGACCGAAATGCAAACTTTTAGGATGCTCTGACAAAAAACAATCCAGCTATAAGTGGAAGTCCAGACCCTAGGAAGGCCCAAAATCTAGAACTGGCTCCTTTACAAAATAGTACAATTGGGTGGATAAGATGAGTTGGGCGAAAATTATGCGCACGTGCGATGGAAATACTGCAGCGTCTCAGCTGTAAAGCACTGATTCTCCTGTCAGCTGCTGGTCAGAGTCAAAACTTCATGTTAGGCGAGGGTAGGGTGAGCAACCCCTGAATGGTTATTTAAAATTCTGCCTCCTCACTTTATTTGAGTAGGTGTGGTTCATAACGATTTGCCTGGCACTAGCCCGCAAAAAGTGTTATGCGATACGCGGATTTTTACCTTCACAATCGTTATCGAAGTAAAATTTGCCCGTATCGGATTAGTGTTCTTAGTGCTAGGGTTTTCAGGATTGGGTTATGGTTTAGATCTGAGACTGTAGCTAAGGTTGGGGATTTTGGTTTAGGGTTGTGGGTTTCAGGACGAGGTCGGGATTGGAGCTAGGGTTTTAAGCTCTAAGTTAAAATTGCGGTTACTTTCGTATTTTCCTTAAGGACGTACCAGTAAGGGTTAGGGTCACCCATTAAAGACATGGCGGCGATTGGCGTTAGGCTTGTTGTTAACTACAGTTTTCCCAGGAGGTTAGGTACCACACCTCTGCTCCAAGTCATCCCCTGTATGCATTTAAAGAACGTCGGACTTCTAGTATGTTTAATTCAAACATGATGACTGCAGTTTCCATCCGCTCTCATTTCCGTTTTTTTATGTTTATGGGCCGGTCCTATTTCAGTTGTCTGAGAAGTGAACTGGTCGACCTTTAAACCAGTAGTTTTGGGTGTTTCTCAGCTCAGGAACCTGAGATTAAAGCATGCTTATGGTGGTTCAATTCGTTTTTGGTACCACTTTTTTCTGGTTCTTACATCTTTCATCAAATATTTTGTGTTTATCTAAATTTACACCTTATTCAGAGCATGAAATATACACTTCGAAGGTCACTATTCTTAGGTATCCTTCGTCAACAACAAAACCACCGACAGCCGAAACTTATAGGTCAATAGAAAGAGGCCTTTAGCGATACATTTTAATGCTTTGCCTAGTTAGACACAGTGGTATCAGTGAGTGCCCATTCATAAGCCATTCTTTTGCAGATAGGCCTTCATAAAACACCTTAAAAAATTCTGGGTACACAGTCCTTAAACTGTAAACTTTTGTCCTCTGTCGAAAGTTTTTTCAGAAATGCTTTTGGAACTTCTGACACCAGACACCTTACGCTTAGGCAGCCCAATGCCCAGATGACCGTATTGTTCAACGCCGCGACTATCGTTCATGTATTTCTACTCAACTACAATAGTATTCACAGTGATTTGTTTAATTAGTCCCGTCCCTCATCTTGTATTTTAACCGAACTAGTCGACAACTCGCGACTTTTTTATTGCTTTGTGTAACCTCAACACTCCTTAAGTTGTCTTTTCATGCAATCTTACAGTCTGTGCAAAACGTTAACCTCCTGACTGCCGGGACAAAAAAATTGGTAGGTTTTGACCTTTCATAATCGAAAACAGTCTTTCAAAAATATAAAGGACATACGCTTTTGATCGCTAGTTTACTGAGGTTTTAGGCTCCGAACGCATAAAAACTATAAGGATGAGAAATTCCTAAAAACCCTGGCTATTCAACTGAGCAATTTACAAGACGAATGTAAAGGAAGAACCTGCGCGGTGATCCATTTAAGGTTTCCTTATTTCAAAAGGATAGAACTCCATAAGTAGACGAAAAATTCCGGTTCTCAACATTTCACTTCATCCTGCCCCAAATTTATCTCTCATCCATGCAAAACTTTTCTTCAGGTCTGCATGACGTCCCCGTTTACAATTGTATTCCCCTTTACAGACGTTTCTGAGAGACAGCGCATGCACTTTTTGCGTAACGTTTAAAAAGACCTCTTGTGAAATACATATCTTTGGGCATTAAAATATACCAACGGTTCTTGGTCTGCATCTCGTAAAATGCGCTTTCCTCAATCCAGTAAAAGCAATGGATTCGTTTGACTGTCGTTCGTTACCTGTCAAAAATAAAGTCTCTGCGCTATGCCTCCTATTTCCTTTCTAAATTGCTTAGTGTTTAAGTGAAGTGGAATTCTTGTTTTAAATTCAAAGTTAGGATTAATTTCTAATGACGAATATATTTCGCCGAAAATAGTAACATCTTTTAAACACAAAGTATAACCATAATGACAAAATGCCTCACGTACGTTGATTGCATAGGGACTGCATAGGGGCTTTGTTAAAATAACCTCCGAGCTATATTTCTTTTTTAAATCTTTAGTTATGTGATTTCTAGTGCATTCGTGTCTCCACCAGGTGACATTTAAATTTGAAGGCTGAGAGTCAGTCTTCAGTCTAGCAGTAGCCCCGAAGCTTTGCTCGTGACAATTTAGTCCAGGATGCTAAAGAGGATACACCTTGTGTTGACTTCTTTTAGTTGCCCTATGGCCTTTTCACGTCACATCTTTCAAATTAGTTGTCGCTGGCACTCAACATGTTTGTAAAAATTTGCTCACTTAAGAGAATTCCAAATAATTGATGTATGTTTATATTTTGCAACCGACGGTTTGGTTCCCTTATTTGTTTTTTCCTTCATTTTCTTCCAAAATATCTACGCTCTTCTTACATCAGATGATTTTTATTAACGAATTGTAGAAGTGGCATTGCATTTAGCTAATAGACCTGATAACTACCCTTTTGTATCTTACTTTATAGCTCGGGGCCATACCCACAATCCGCGGTTTTTTCTTTCGGGAGGCTCTGGAAAGGCTTTTGATCTCCCAATTGCAGCTTATTTTAAATGACTTACTGTGCCAAATATCGGGTGAGTTTTACGGGAAGTTTACAGTCATCATTATTTGGTTACTGATCGAAAACTGCAAAGATGTCTAAGGCAAAAGCATTAGTACTTTATTAATATAAGATACAGACGTGCGAATTGGAGGTTCTTCAGGCTTTTAATATGTTTAGTTCATGCATAAACGTAAAAGTTGCATTTTGACACTTCCTTGTGTTTCCTTGCCTGAAACCACCGATGATGTCGCCCTAACCTTCCTTCAAAACCATGACTTCAAGACCTATGTGCTGCAAGATTTAAGAGGGCAGTTTTGCAGGGTACTTTTAGATAACTGTAGGTTTTATATACAAGCAAGGAACATATTAACTGACCTATATGTTAGTCGTATTTTGGGCTTTTTGAAATGAGTTAGTGCTGAAATCTTCGAAATTTTCGGCTTATTCACTCTTCGGGTCTTCTTGGATGGTTAATGAGGACTGAGGAAAAAAGTTAATAACGAGATTCCTGGGAAATATATCTCCCTTTTAACGGCCACGTTTATGCGAAATATCATGATATCATCGTTTAATTAAGTTGGATCACCGGTATTTCTATTAAGTATTTCCAAAAACGTATTTTAAGTAAGATATGAATGAAGCTATTTGGTTGACCTAGGGGCTGCGCAATTTAATAGCGCTCTATCTAAATTAAAGCACACAAACCGAGATCCGCAAACGGCATATGACTTCTATTTATTATTCAAAGTGTCTCCATGTGCGCTTCCGCAGAAATACTCCCCACTGTTCTACCGAAAATCCTTCAGTCGATTTTCAAAAGATCCACACCATTTCATGATTGGACAGTAGTACAGTTTTGCAGAGATGGCTAAACCTAAAGCTTGGTGCACCGACAGATGGGGAGGTACTTCCTATTTTTATACTTTTATAACTTACCAAAAAATGTTCCTTGGAAGCAACCGAAAACATCTCTGCAGATGATTTGGACATAAAAACAGTTGAACATACAAACAGATGAAAAAAAGACAAGGCTCTTCGGACAACTCGAGTCGTACTTGAGAAGTTTCCAGCTGGTGACACCAACCCGTCGTCAGACGACATGAGCAGAGGAGAAAATGAGACCGGCGCGACAGGACAGACAACGACAGACAGAAAGCTGGTGAGGGCACCGAGTTATGATTAGTTGTGGAGCGGGGAGATGGAAGGGAGAACCGTTAGGGCTCCCGGTGCTACTGGAGTAGTGCACAGTACGTCAGTTATTCATGCAAATGTATGTTGCATTCTGTAAACAGAACAGTGGATGAATCGACATCGGTGTAATCTATACGAAGTTTCAGCCCAGGGCAGCCGTGAGGGCTTGAGAGAAGTAAAACGTCATTCCCTATAGTACATATAAAACAGTTTTTTTCTTCATCGGGGGAAAGACATTTCACCAAACAGCTTCTACGTTCAACTTTAATGTTCATCTCATTTGTAGATTTAAATAATGAACTGATGCGGGAGCTCCCGCTTCGCGACGAACTGCAGATAGACAACGAGGAGCGAAAAACAAAATTTCAAGAACTTTTATTGTAAGTTTTTCTTGATTGCATTGTTATGCAAAACATGAAGAACGGCTAGAACCAAAGCCCTTAAACTTCATAAAACAACTAAATAGGAAGAAGGCATTTTCTTAAATAGTTGATCTATCGCGCTCGAGTATTCACTTGTGCGTTGAGCGACTGGTCTCATGAAGTGTTAGTCAAAATTCTGTAATAGGTTTTCGATTAGGAAGGATAACTTAAGTAGGGTTGTAAGATTGAATGTCGTGCGGCACAATCCTATGATACCTCGGACTCGCCAGAATGCCGACTTTTGAATGCAATTCTTTGGACCTACTGTAAAAGGCGCACTTTGGAAAAAGGTGGCTAATGAATTAGGGTGCAATTCTCGAATTTATTTTCGATGACCTTATCAATTCAAATATATTTTATAGAAAACATGCACCAAATATACTTTCTTTCATTCATTTGGCAGCAAATCACGTCATCTCTATATTTTATACTCGATGAAAGAGCACCTTTTAGTTTTATAAAAGTTTTTAATAATGACATTTTCTAAGGCTGTGCAATGTCCATTTATACAGCATCGTGCATGCCCGTTAGTTAACGCTTCTTGCAAAATAAGCAACACAGTCCGCATCCTTTATGAAAGTTTGTGGACTCTACATGGTATCTCCTTAAGGGCAAAGAGAAGTATATGGCTTTGCTTATGCGGAAAGTATGCGCCTTGCAGACCGCAATCAATAAAATCTAGTGCAACAGCCGATCTAGCTCAAAATAATAAGGGAATTTAAAAACTTTTTAGAACCCAAATATACCCTTTCTTCGAGTACAAAATGTAAGGACGAATTGATCTGCTACAAAATGAGTGAAAGAAAGCACACTTTTGTGCATGTTTTCTTTAAAATATATTTGAATTCATAAGGCCACCGAAAATTAATGTGAAAAATGTATAACGTTTAAGTATCCATTTTTATCAACTTTAGTCTTTGCAGGAGGTTGCATAGAAGTGCATTCAAAATCCAGCATTCTGGCGAGTCCAAAAATATTATGGAATTGTGCCGCGTGATGTTTAATAGTGCAACCATACTTAAGTTATACTTCCTAATCATAATGCATTTCAGAATTTCGTCTTACATTTCATGCGATCAGTCATTCTCTGTGTCCATGTTTCATGTTAGAAGTCCGTTAATCCCTATGTACATGCATATGTATAAATTGAAAAACAGGCAATAACGTTCAATAACTAAAGCATCCAGGCTCAAATCCCGCTGGGCTTGGCTGATTGACGATGGCTAATAAACCAGAAATGGTCACCCCAGTCCCCCTTGACGTTGTCGGCATCTTTTTAATTACTGCCTGCATAGGCTCTAGACGGAACCCCGAGACGCCGCAGGGCAAGCATGTCCCTAACCTAGTCGATGTACGCCCATCCTAAGGCGATATTATATATATTTGATCTGCGGAGGTAGGCATCCTGAGGGAGATAAGCTAAGTTCAGATATGTTCTCAATGTATATCTTTGTATGTTGTGTGTGTGATAATATATCTAACATATCATAATACAGTATACAATATTATACTCATGTTAAATTTGCATTGCCCTGCACAGTCGCCTTGAGATAGTGGATTAGATTTTTGTTTTATCTTGTGTGCGTCCTTTATGAGCACACGCACCCCAACACAAGCCCGTTGCCTTCATAGATCCCTAAGGTCCCGCAAACTTCATCATGTACTCGACTACAAGGCGCTCCGTCCCACGACCCTTCTGCCTTCTCATCAACCCATCAATGCTGAGTACCACTTCATGAAAAGCTTGCCTGTTCAATGCCCGAGGGAGAAACCACAAGAACTCTCCTCTCTTCAGACACCCACCAGCCCCAGAATTGCAAAGTTAAAGTCCTATTTTTTTGGATTCTTCAACAGAAAACGCTCCAAGGATTCAAGTCCAATACAGCGGCGATCCGTTTAACCGCATTTCTGTGTCCTAAAATAATAACTGCATTTCAAAAAACCATACATTTTTCTACATTAGACTTACACAACTGACGGAGATTAACAAGCCAGTGGGTGGGGTCTAAGAACAGGTATATTGCGTCAATGCATTTGAGGACATATCTGCGCCAAAAAGCAGAATTCAACAAACCCATCCTTAGCTCATTTGCTTTGCAACGAAATAGAATTGTCGACTCACTAAACCCTCACTGGACGGTCTGTCCCTGAAACATCATTTTCACGCTGTCCACCTCCGCAAATTAAACGTTTTCTCCTTTTTATTACTAGCAACGCTAGTCCATTGAGGCTTGGTCGAGTGCTCGACAGGCCTTACCCTCGCACTTGCCTCTGTGCGCGAAAAGAGGGAGGAAGAGCAAACTTTATTTTAAAATAAATCTTTTGAAATTATTACTAAACTTTCTCCGATCACCAGAGCTGGGATGAAAAGAGAAGTCGAGGGAAAATTGTAACATAAAACTGTGGGACTGTTGTGATGAAAAGTTTTATCCCCGATTTCGCACTTTAGTCCCTTTGCAGACTATAAATCCCAGTAGCAAAGGGGGATTAACTTAAGGAAGTAACAGACACCGGCAGCAAACGGGAACATTTGAAGTAGACGTCCTAGATCTCGAATGTCCTTTTTCAGCAGGACGGCAAACTGACAAGCCAGCCAAAACCAATTAGCATAATACTGGCGTGTATAGGCAGTCATATTATTGCCTGGAGAATTTTGTGGGAACGCAATGGACGGGTGTATTTTTTATTCATAGTCTGAGTGCTAGTCTATAAGCGTCAAATTATACTTCCTGGGATGCCCGTTTTCCAATTCATACGTATAATAAACGAGTCTAGGAAACTTGCTGGAAATGAATTCCGCTTGAGAAGAAAGGGAGAAAGTGAACGCCATGCTAGCTGAAAGAAGGGACTCCGTCGGAACAAACGTCAGATAGTCCAGGATTGGGGGAGCGCAGTCGGATGAAATACTGAACTAACTTCTGGGTGTTAACCAGAGGATCGTATTGCGACATTGCCCAAACCTTCCATGAGCAGTTGTAGGTCAGCCAATCTCATCAGCGTACTCAGTTCATAGTCGCTGAACGACCTCAAATCATCAGCATAGAAAAGGAATCTTGATCACGCCACGGGTACTAGGGAAAGGAATCGATCCACTGTATCCTTTGAATGCCGCAACTTTTGTGCATGAATCAGCCATATCTACTGCATGAGCATGCATCCGAATCGAGCATAAATCCGAAACGTCAGGTGAATAAAGTTCTCGTTTTATTGATCACGACCGCTTTTCCTCTATCAGTTCCAGTTCCCGGACTGGACAAACGGTCTTCGCGGAGGAGAGTAATCCGCCAGCCAATAAAAATAGCAGCCAGACGATCTGCACTTAGACCTTTTTGCAAACGGAATGTGACGTACTACAGTTGAGATGTAATCTCGTGAAATGCTAACCGAAATTTAATGATATGTCTTTGATTTGAAAAGTCTGCTTAAGTAGGATTTGATCTTTATTATCGCGCAGCTTTAACTTGGGATATTCCCCTCACGCTATGATGCGGATTTCTGAATGAACTCTCCTCGGTCGTCTTTAAAAATTACACTCTGCCAAAAAGTGACTACGTACAGTAGGTGTGATAACTCATGGAATGTGAATCAAAACTCTGAAAAGATTACTTAAGTAGTGATGTAATGTTAATTACCGTGCAGAATATTCTCAAAATAATTAAGTTACATTGGGATACCGGCTTTTAAAGAAACTTTTTTTCTGGGCTCCTACAAAAATTACGCTCTGCAAAAAATGACTGCTTAAATAGGGCGTTTTCCTAATTGGTTTTGATGGCCTTATTAATTCAAATATAGTCATAGAAAACCTGAGCAAATATACTTATCCGTTTACTCATTTGGTAGAAAAGAAAGTCTTCAAATGTTATCCCTGCGGGAAAGTATATTTTGGTTTTAAAAAGAGTTTCTGCTTGGCGGATGGTACCACCGATACCGAGGACCTTGTCCAAAAGTTTAACATTGCGCACCCGTCCCTAAAGTTCACCGCAGAGGTCGAGGCAGATAACGAAATTGCCTTTGGTAGGGGGGCACTCAACGATCGTTTTTACGGAACTCACACTTTACGTTGTGCCTTACGGGCTCTCTCTCGAGCCAAACCAACAGCCGCACAATGATGCATGATATTGACGCAATAGTATTACCGACAAAGACAAGGGAGACTGGGATGGCCATTTCTGGCTTATTAACCGTCGTCAGCCAGTCATACCCAACCCCGAAGTGTGGAACACCCGAGGCTCGAAATTGTCTTTCTCGATGTCCGTCTGCTCAGGCAAGAAGATGGGTCCATTCAACGCAGGGTATTCCGAAAAAAAACCGGCACGGCACAATACGTTAATTACCGCAATTCTGTTCCCCTAAACATCAAACGGTAGTTAGTCCAGGAATTGGCGGCTAGAGTGAGGCGTATGTGCTCACCTGAAGTTATTGAAGCAGAGCTCCAACGAGTACGAAACACAGTTCGCGAGAGCTGATATCCAGATAGATTTTTCCTTCGAAATATTGGGGAACGCACTGCATAGCCCATCGTTGCGACTGCAGAAAGTAAGAATGCATTCATAAAACCGACTTTTGCAGGAGACGTAGAGAGCTAAATAGTCAGACGGCGCTTAACTACAGCTATCAAGGGGGTATTCCCCGCGGCTAATTTACGCGTATGCTTCACAAACTCTCCCCTCCTAAGTTTGGTAGGTAAAGACAGACTGCCGTTGGAGGCCACATCAATGTGCATTTACTCATTCATTTGCTCCTGTGGAGCGGGATACATTGGCCATACAACGAGACGCCTGGTAAAAAGGGTGCGTGAACATATACTGGCCTGGTTAGACACAGGTGAGAACCGCCTGATTTCGAGTTTCATTCTCGCAAATTTAATCGATATGAATCACCGAGTCGATGCCAAGAAAGCATTTTAGATTGTCTACCTGACATCAACAAGCTTCATTAAAGGCCTACGACAACGGATACTACCAACGGCCGAAGCAGTGGCTATACGACTAACGGATCCAGTGTTATGCTGTCAGCAAACGCTGAGACGAGCGCTCTCTCTGCCGTGGCCAACGCCAACCTCAAGCGATGACGACATGCCGCCTCAAATCCCTAATAACAGTGATGGATGCTACGTTTACTCAATCCAAGAACATCCCTCAAAGATTCTCCTACCCCCCTCCCCTTGCTCTGAAGACCGAAATCCGCCGACCTCGTCACGCCGGCGGTGTGGGGAAGATGAGTAATAATGACTTAATAAGCCTCGAGACACCTATAGACACTCTTAATTTTGTATATTATCATTCCTCCATGTAACTGTATTGGCCTGACGAAGAAATATCGAAAACAAGTTTTTGCCAACTTAAATTTCCAATTATGAGATTTTTAATACCGTTAAATGCCCGTTCACAACACATCGTGTTTCTGCATTAACTGATGTTGCTTGTAGCTCAAGTCCACTGCTAAATTCCATGAACCCCCTTCAGTCTTCTTTTAATAACGTATATAAATGTATTGTTTTCCGTACACGGCAAATGTACAGCTTATAGTTTGAAAACCCTGAATGCACGTGTAACGGTAGGTTGGAACCAAAATCACTCGGGAATTGGAAGAGTTTTTGAAACCGAATTATACCATTTATTGAAGCATAACATTTAAGGAAGACGTTATGTCTTACCAAATGGGTCAGGGAATAAATATTTTGGTGCACATTTTCTATAAAATATATTTAAGTGAATAAGAGCATCGAAAATCATTGAGAAAAATTCACACTAATTAAGCGGTCACTTTTTATAGATTGCGGTTTTTGTCGGCGGCCCGAAAAAAATTCGGGCCTGAGATTAACCTTCAGCATAATTCATGTTACAACACTACTTAAGTAATTTTTTCGACTCGAAGACGCATTCCAGAAATTCGGTGAATATTTTATGAGTTAGCACACTTAGTACAAGAGGTACAATATTTTGCCCATTGAATTTAATGCCCATATGGATTTTAATATATTATATAGAAAACACTCTCTCATATACTCATTTTGTAGAAAATTGCTTCTTCAAATCTGCTACTTGAAGAGGGGATATTTTTTGTTTTTTAAAAACCCTTCAATTCCCCAATATTTTTGCTCTACGCAGTTTATTCCAAACAAGTACAAGAAAGAGTATTTTATGCATGTCTTCTGTAAGATATCAATTGGAAAGTTCGCACCACATACGTGGTTATTTTTTACAGAGTGTAGTTTTTACATATGGCCAAAAGGGAGCTGATTCGAAAGCCGGCATTCAGGCGTGACTGAAATATCGTAGGATTATACTGCCCGATAGCTACTACTACACCGCGCTTAAGTAACCTTTCCGAATCAGAAACATATTTTCGGATTCCAGTTGACGTTACTTGAGATAGCACATGTACTGTACGGTATTAAAAGTATCGCAAAAGGCAAAAACTCACATAAGTACGCACGACAATGCCTGGCTGAGTCTCTTTGATAAGAATAAAACATGAGGATTACGCAATCTACGTTAGTGAATCTAAGCTTATTTGTAAATTGTCAAAAGTCCAAGAAAGCGTGATAGAGTAGACCGAAAATATCCAGGGCGCCCGGCTGGCTGAGCTGATGAACAGGCTAATGAACCAAATTACTTAAAAAGACAGATATGTTGCAACTTACTTGGTGGGGTAGTTGCGACCAAACCCCCTGAGTATGATTCAACCTTCGGCTGACCGACACCGCAACGCCGACATTTTGGTCTTCATGGATTGGCCGCAACAGGACATGGCTCCGAGGCAGGCGCACATCTTGTACTGACAAGGATAAAATCAGTGACTGGCTCTTAGTTTGATTAAATAGTTTGTTGGCGCTGGCTTTCCGTCCGCCTGTAAGTTGCTTGCCGTAGTGAAGACTCCTATTGATCCTGTCTCCAT